CTCCGTTCCGCGTCTCTCAACCACTCCCCCTCCCCTCCCACCTATTTTCTCTCGGTTTTCACTGGACTTTTTGTCCCCCGTTGGCTTCGAGATGAAAGCCAACGCTGCAATTGACGTTTGTCAATTTCATTGAAAGTGTTATCGTCTCTTCCGTACGCGAGTCTTCTCTCTGGTACCCGATGTCCGCGCTTCGCTGTCGGCGCACAGTGTCCACGCAATATCGAACGGAAATGTTGTTTTCAAAGGAAAAGAAAGAAAGAAAGAATAGAGACCCGTGTGCCGCGCAGTGTGTTGTTACAGTGTGTGTTTGTGCCTACGACAAGAGACGAAGAAAGAAAGAAAGAAAGACTAGTTGCACTAGTTTCTAGAGTCTTTTTCTTTTTTTTTTTTTTCTTCTTCTGCTCTCTCAAACTGATGCGACTGGCGACAGAGTCGGTGCGCAACGGGGTAACGAACTCTGGTGCTTGGAAAGCAGGACGAAGAGACAAGGGGAATCTCGCGTTGGTATTTGCATGATTCGCCAACATCGGGTCACGCGTTAGCACGCATGTGCGCGCAAACACAATTCATCGTTTTTCCGCGATAAACCGACCCGTTGTTTGCGGGCGATGGCGGGCGAAAGCGCGCATGCGCCGCGCACCCCCCCCCATCCCCACTCGTCTCCACACGTTCTTCTCACCACTCCACTACTTCCGAATCCGAAACCACCGCGCGCGCGATCCTTCTGCGAATCTAGATCCAACCTATGCCTTCGTTTCCACACGATAATAATTTCACGCGGCATGTTTGTCACGCGATGCGACAGCTACCGTACGCCTGCAGTTGTTCCCGTCAGATTTGTTTCCAATTTTTTTTTCTTTTTTTTTCCTTCTTTAGTACGAAGACGAGAGTCGACCGCAACAAAGAGAGGGCAGAAACTGAAACGTGCTCTTGACGTCACTGGAATCATTCTCACCACTTAGGCCAAGTCACGAGTTCAATTTAGAACGCAAACGATCGTCAAGTACCGCGGATCCAATTGATCGTTTCGTTTCGTTTCGTTTTCGCAACCTGTCGTTGAAAGTTCTTTCTGTTCTGGCCAAGTTGGACGTGCAAGATGCAAAAAGAGATGATGGACGGAGAGAAGGAGGAGGGAACACGGTGTTGTCGGCGAGGATCGAGTCGATTTACGGTTGTTTCGATATCGCTTCCACCGCGGGGTCATTGCGCTGCCTTCTTCCTCCTCTTGGTTTAGGTTAGTCCCTCGAATCTCGAGGAAACGCGCAGCACATACTTGCGTACATAAATACATAAATACGTGTCGACTTGTGCCACTGGTAGAGACGCCCACGCGTCTCGGACACTCGCGTGATCGCGTTGCGTCTCACGTCCGCTGGTTTCTCAACCTTTTCTTCTAAATTCATTTTAAACTGCACCCGAAAATCCATCGTCTAGGCGTTCATATTTCACCGTTTGAGAGCTTGTGATTTTAGATGACTACAATTTCAAAATGATCGAAATCGAAAAGGAAAGAAATTCCGTGAAAGATTACACCGATTCTGTGCACACGTGGTGGAGAAACCATTATTACCTACCGACAGCAGTGTCGGAATTCTTTTTTTTTTTTTTTTTTTT